GAGTGCTTGTTTTGAAGCCAAGGCAGCAGAGGCCAAAAGCCTGAAGACCAGGCCCTGAGGTTAATTCATTAGCCAATGGAGCTGAGGGCTCTAGGTTCAAGACCAAGAATAGAGGCAATTAAGACTGTTGGCCAAGGCAGAGAGGGACCTTGCAGGCAGCAAGGCTGAGACCCTGGACAGGGGCCAGGACCCAATCACTGATAGTGACAATAAAGATGAAACACTGAACTGACGCCTGGCTTAAAATCCACCCCGCCCTGTCTGGGATGAAGCAATTTACTGCAAACTGTTTAACATCAAGGCATGGCAGGATAGTAAGACAGGGAGAGTGCAGAGCCAACAGGAGACAGAAACCTCAGGATCACCCATCAGTGGCGACCTGCAATAATGATTTATATGGAAAGGGAAGCATAGTCCCATAATATAGCATATTAAGCATATAATGAGGACCAAAGAAGACTACTTTACATTTTTCTGGCAGCCGGAGAAGCTTTGGCAATGGAATTTAAAATGACCTTAACATTCATGTTTAAAACATATGTGGTAAGTGGCCTCAGCCCTCACCCTACTCTTGATCTTTAGAAGCAGTGAACATAAGATAAAGATCTGTTGTGGTTCTTTTCTCAGCTCTCTATAACAATTCATAAATAGGTCAGTTTTAGCATGTTTATATAAGTTGATTCCCCTTCTGGGAATGCTGGGCTGTGATAAACAGTTCTTTCTAATTAATTTGCTTTTGTTAAATAGCTGGGGATTACTCTTACAGCTAAAAACATTTTAAATAAAAGTATCTTGTAAGTCAAGACAATGTTTTCTGTCTGTTGCTGACAGATGAACTGGTAAGTGCCCAGTCTTGTTTCCTTTAAAACAGAGGCACTTCGCTTTAAATATTGCGGGTTCTTCCTTGAGATTAAATGCCATATAGATCCAGAGAGCACTTCTTGAGCATAATGACTACTATCATGAGTAATACTAATCACATTTAATTAGTCATAGAGGCCAATGGGACTGCTTTGAATAGTAATTACTATACTGAAAGTGTTGATAGAATCAAACCCCCTTTTCTTGTACTTCTTTTAGAGAGAAATTGCTTGGCATATGGTTTTTCATACATAACTTTTGGCACAACTTGTCTCTCAGTCTGATTTTATTAATGGCCCTTTATCTGTATCAGTTTACAGGCAATTTATGGAAACAAAGATATTTTTGTCAGGTCAGACCAGTTTTCTCTCTCTGTTATTCTGCCTCTGCAACGACTGGCACTAGATACTTCGGAGGAAAGAGCAAGACATCACAGAACAGGTAGTTATGAAAGGGAAATGTGCTCCTAGGTTTCAGTTATCATCCTTAAACAGTAGCTACAAAGTAGAATCTCTTCCTCTCATCTCTTACCTTGTCTTTTCTCAGAATAAATAATAGAGTTTGGTGTATCCTATGTAACCCGGGTGCACCCAGGTATGTGCTCCTCTCTTCCAAATAGAAGGAATAGGTGGCTAGGCAGGAGAGCTAACAGATGGATCTGTAGCTGTCAATCAGTTCCCTCTGCCCCCCACCACCCCCATAGAGTCAGGCCAGGGCACAGAATATCTTAACTATATATAATTTATTTATAAATATAGGTCAAAAGATTAATGCACATATTTACAAATATACAACTTATCTATACTAAGAGCTGAATCAGAGGAATATATTAATGCTTACCTGTATTGATTGATTACTTACCTGGGTCTTATTTGTGCGTGTCTGTATTAATTCATAATTTACCTGTTCCTGAGTGGAACCCCGAGGGTAGTATACATATAAGTTACGAGTTAACACAGGCAGGCACAAATAACACACAGGTAAGTAATCAATCAATACAGGTAAGCATGAATCAAAGAGGAACAAGTAGGTAACAAGAGGGTGGCAGGGAAGAGGTCTCAGTGGGGATTTCAGGGAGTCATATACATAGACACAAACCAACAATTATCAACCTCACAGTAACAACAAAATATGAGGTGCTGTCACAAAATTTGAGGCGCACAATAATAGCAATAAACTGAAGTTATTAAAGGATCCCAAGGCCCAGGATAACCCAAAGGAACTAATGGGGGAATCCTGAATACCCCTTGTGATCTCTTACCACCCCATAGGAGAACATGTAAACTCAGTGGGTTTCCCTGGCTAGGTAGGGGAGACTGCCCCTCCCCTGTGCAACCCTTTCCCTGTAGCAGTCACAACTCTGGGGTAGGCCTAGATGAATGGTCCTTCTCAGGTTGAGATGCTCCCCACATGCGGGAACCTACAGGGCTCCTGGATTCCCCTTTTGGCTGCTGGTGGCCCTCTGCACCATCATGTGCACCGAGGGCTTCCCCTTCTGCTGATGGTTTGAGGCCCAGCCCACCTCATGCAAGTGCCAGGGCTCGGCCTCCTCCTGGATCCTCCATGCAGCATTGGCTGCACTGCATTCTGGGGCCTTCTGGCCCTGTGCATCATCACGTGCACCGAGGGCTCTGCCTTCTGTTGGGGGCTGGAGGCTTGGCCCGCCTTGTGCAGCATCAGGGCTCGATCTGCACTCGGGCCTTCTGGGCAACGCTGATTACATTGCGTCCTGGCCGCAGTCCAGGGGTTAGGGACCTGAGCCATTGCAAACAGCTCCCTGGGTTGCACCAGCTTCACGCACCATTTGTGCACCAAGGTTCCAGCCTCACACCGGGGCTTGCAGACTTGAGCTGCCTGGCACCGCTCCCAGGGTCTTGCGCGGCGCACCAAGTGCTGGAGCCAAAGCCAACCACCACTCCCCGCTGCTGCCAGAAGTCTTCAGGAGCTCTTCAGAGGCAACTGCATTCACCCTGCTGGGCAGTTCTCCCAGCCCTTCCAAGCTCCGTTCTCTTTGCGGCCCCCCGGTCACATCTGCTACATGCTGGGCATGCTGCTCCTTTTATTCTCAGTGCTGTCAGACTTGCAAAGTGCAGGCTTCAATCAAGTCTGGGGCTCTATGCCCTCCTGCCTGCCCCAGGAAGGGGCGGGGCCAGCCGCTTCCAGCAATTACCCGATTGGCAGTCGTGCTCCACCAATCACAACAAAGCTCCTCGAGCCCAGGCATGCAAGGATGTATCAGTAAGTCCACCCCACCTATAATAATTTCACTACCATGGCTCTTGCTGCTTGGTATCTTTACCAGAAGTTTCAGGAGAGATGACAAGGATGTGCACCAAACCTGCCTCCCCAGAAACTGGCACAAGAAGCAGGCAGGAGATCCCACTTTTATGTAGAAAAACATAGGGGTTAGTGTCAGAAGCCAATGAGCCAAAGAAAAGGAAAAGAAAAATTAGCACTGTGGTAACATGTACTTAGCACCTTAATTTCCATTCCCCGCCCCCCCAACACACACACACACACACACACACACACAC